ACCGCCTCTCCAAATCTCTCTGGCTGGTCCATTTGGACTCTGGTATGTGTAGGTAGTGGAAAAAAAAAAAAAACTAAAACAATTTTTGATCATGAAAGCAGAGAGCAAACATACCTACTTAGCCACAGATATGGGAAAACATTAGGCAAAAGCAGGAGAGAAGGGAGGACAATGAAAAGAAGAATAATTTGAGTGCAATCGAGAGCTGTGTAACAAAAATGAAGGCATGCAGAAACAATGATCAGACATCGCTACAATGATTTAAACACAAAATCACTTCTTATATGAAAAAGCAAAGCAAACCCTTCACACATTAGAGGAATAATGGAAATAAGCAACCTAAAAATAAACATGTAAGCAACATATTTAATTATTATTTAAGTCTGAGCTGAAGTATTTATTCTCCACATTTGCTGACACACCTGGTGAAACCAGATGTGAGCAAAAAAAAGTTTGACAAATTCCCAGGTTAATAATCTAATTGTTCTTACAGAATCACAAGGGACACATTTACTGACCCCCAAAACAATCTTTGTTTATTTTACATTTTTGACGTGGAACTTTATTAGAACTATAATAGCTGCTCTTCAAAATCAGAAGGTCAAGAAGAAGCACTATTTAAGTGAGGCGAAGGGTGCTAAGAGGCATTAGTCAGGACATACAGGCTAATGGGGCTACAGAGCCGCATAAGACATTATACACTCCGCTAATATGTGCTTATTGTAGGAAACTGCAGCAGGACTGAGTTTGTTTTGTTTTTTCTTTTAAGTAAAAAGGCAACCCATGAGCTCTTATGTATGGTAGAGTATCTGTGATGCTGGGGGGCATTTCTTTATAGGTTCTCTTTTATTCAAGCTTCAAAATATTATCAAAGAAAGTATTTTGATGTAAACAATGTGCCAGCTCAGTCCCAACAAAGACAGGTCCTACATAAATCACCTTGGCCACTTTAAGTTCAGCAGTTTGACAAATAAAAACAAAGCCAATTAGACGGCAGCTTTTAGGCGTATTAATGTTATGATGTCTATATGCAGAATTCAAACAGAGAATCAGAGCGGGGAGGAAAGGGAGATATTTAACAACGCAATCAGCCTTTCACGTTTTCAGAAAATGTGTTAAAAAACTGAAGGAAGAAAAGAATAATAGAGGGAGGCTGATCAGACAAAAAGGCCAAAATGAGGACAGAGAAGATTAGGCGGACGTGTTTAAAATGATAGAAAGTTCAAATACCGATTAAAACTATGACATGGAGGAACAGAGTTTGGACGATACTGATTTTTTTTAGGTCCAAATAATCAAGTATTTTTGACATCAGTCCAACTGCACTGCAAAAAATTTAAATCTAAATAAGCCATTTTTTCTTAAAATAAGTGAATTTTGTCTTGAATGGAGGAAGTAAGTGTGATACTTTGCCAATGGAACAAGACAGTTTTACATTAAATAAGAAAACGCAAGTGCATTGTCTTATTACAAGCACATATTATCTAATTATCTTATTTTAAGAGTAAAAATACTCATTCAATCAGCAAATCCGTCTTATTTACCTGCTGAAATTAAGGGTAAATACACTTGATTTAAGAAATTTCTACATATTTCTAGATAGTTTTTTGCCATGTGATCCCAGATCTGTGCTGCCAATTCTTTGGGGGGGGATCAGTACTTAAAGATTTTATTACTTCTTCTTCCACCATTAACATAATAAAAAATACAATGAAAACAAATATTATACCAGCTTTAATCATAAAACAATTCAAACAAAACATTAACAATGGTTAGCAAATAGAGGGAGCAGCGATGCAGGAGCTATAGATGATCTCAAGGCATGACTGCTGAATGCACTAATGAATCACCAAATGCATTAATGCATCAGCTGATGCTGACATAAAAGAAACAACCAGAAAAAAGCTGACTGAAGTATTTTCCTATCATTAATAAGGAATCATAAACCAGGGGCCACTCCCAAAAGAAGCTGGACTGTGGCATGTTGAAAAAACTTCAATGTCATCTGCCTTGTTCAGATGGTAGAGTCAGAAATTTGGATGGATCTTGAATCAATCCAGTACTGATTCAACTTTTCAGGCAGCGGCTGGTGGCGTCAGAAGTGGGGAGTTACGACACAGATTAAAAACTAAAACATTTGACACACACCATCTAGTGTGATTTAGGGAAAGCGGGTAAGACAACTGCAATCAGGTCTTTACGCGCCCACATTCAACCACACATGCTCCATGAAAAGCAGTGCGTGATTGTGATTTTGTATTTAAATGAGTCAGCTGATCGGTGACATATAATATTAATCAAACGCAGAGAAAGAGAAAAATGAGTTTAACTGAGACAGAAATAAATGTGTTGTGTGAGATGGAGAGGATAAATATGATTGGTAGTCACAGTAGTGACGTGACAAATGAAAGGAAGCATTATGAATGGCAACTAGTGTTGCACCGATACCAGTATCGGGCAGGGCCCCGATCCAGCACTAAAATGGTGGTATCGGTATCGGCGGGTACCAACAAATAGGGCACCGATACCATTCTGATAGCCAAAAGTTTATTCAACTATTGTCACCCATTCCAGGTAGGTGATAAAAAGTTCTACTGGATTCACTTTGTATTAGTCTTTTTCCTGCTTCACAAAGGAAGGCAGCAGCTTGATAAAGCCATGATGGCAATTACTTTACATCCAAGTATTATGCAGTTCTTCATATATTCACACACACATCAATTTTAAACAGATGGTATCTGTATCAGCCAATACTGCACAGCAAGGTATCGGGTATTGGTATCTGGGCTAAAAAATGGCATCAGCGCAACACTAATGGCAGCAAGTTCTGGACTGATCATAATCACATCCCAGGCGCCCCTTGCGATGCTTCAGCTTTATGGATAAATCCAAAGAATGGTCTTGTTTCTAAAAGTTGCTTCAGATTTAGAGATAATTATTTTTAACACCTGTGGGGGATTTTGCACCTTTAAGGGTCAGTTACCAGGAGTAGTTAACAGCTGCCCACCAATCTATCTATCTATAAGATTTAATATGGTAAAAAAAAAAAGTCAGCTACATCAGATTATTATAGTAAGATGTTTCCTAATCTAATGTGGATTAGCTTACATCTTTAATAAATTGTAGCCTTAAGCCATGTTCATTTTTAATCTATGTCAAATAAAAAGTTTAGTATATGGACCATAGATTAAAACATTACTTTAATATGTTGTTCTGTGAAAAACTTCACCCTGTTAATCAGCAGGTAAAGGAATGTGTTTGTAAGAAAATATCAGAGACTTTTGAACTGAAACCCAACGCTATCCGACACTACTCTGTAAGAAGGACAAACTCACCTGATTATAGTCCTGCTGTCTGATGTATGTGATGGCTTTGTTGATCTCCAGATCACTGGCAAACTCCACATATTGAGAGCTCTTTACCATGTCAACACACCTTAAAAGATCAGAAAAAAAGTAAGAAGAAACTAATTTTAAGTAAAAACTCAAGGAAATATCAATATAGCACCACTACATTCACAAACCAGTCAAAACCGCTGGCAAAGGACGTCTCTATAGCTGGAGCGATTAGCTTGGCTGCTGTCATGATGTACTTCTCAGCCTGGATTTTCCTACAACAAGAAAACAGCGACATAAAAACAAAACAAAAGAACACATGCGTGTAAGGACTTGGTATACATAATATGCTGGTTTATGCAGAGTTCCTCTTACAGGTTTCTTTCCATCTGATGCAGCTTGTCATTTCTAGTGGCTTCGATGACCATATTGGAACTGGGGTCATCCTGAAAAAGCAAAAAAAGAACAACAGCACAAAGTTAACTGGAGACAATTCTAATTTCAATGAAAACTGTAGAAACAGAATAAAACTGACTTAAAGCAGAGAAAATCTCGATCCGTAATGAAAATAAATGCAAATATATAAAGATTAAGCAGTGATTTTGGATATTTTTCATGTTGCAAATATGGTATTTGAATGACAAACCAATACAAAGTGGTTTCAATGTCGTTTTTTTTCAGGTAACACGATATTGAGGTAAAACAAAAAGCAAACAAAAAAAATAAAATAACAGCAGTGTCATCCCGAGAATACGATCCTCAGTGAAACATGGTTATGGCAGTGTCATGCTGTGGGGATGGTTTTCTTAAAACAAAATCATAAATTGTGCTTAATATAATGACAACAGTTTAAAGCAGAAACTTGAGGGTAGGTGGAGGTTTACCTTCCAGCATGGCCTAAAACATACAGCCAGAGCTAAAATGATACGATTGAAGCAATTCAATGAGCTAAAATGGCTAAATCAAAGTCCAGACATAAATCCAATCAAGACACTGAGTTTGGAAGATGTGCTCCATCTAATCTGAGCTTCAGCTAATTTAGAAAAGGTTTGGATCTCTAGATGTCCAAGGATGTTAGGGATATAGTCCAAAACTTGATTTTAGTTCTCTTCAGAGAGAGAGAATAAAAATACAAACTGCACTTTGCCATTTAAAAACATGCATCACTATCAATTCACATTACTCTTATCTGCTACACAGAGTTAAAATCCCAAATTAAATAAAAATACATTAATGCTATATCAGAGATTTTGCAGGATAAAATTCTTCTAACTTACACTTGCTAGGATGTACTTCTCTTCATCATCAATCCCAAGAGGGACGGAAATGAGCTTCTGAAAGGCCTGCTTCATCCTCTCTCTGTCTCTAATAGCATAGTAGCACAGGATAAGGTTGTATCCAGTCTTTATGTTGGGACTCTCGCTCATGATGTGCTCGAAAGACGTTATGGCGTCGGAGTACTGGCCCAGGTGGACAAACACCGCTCCGATGTTCTGCATGATTTTGATCCTCATTTCCTTGTGATCGGCGAAGATCTGATCCAGCGCCATGCGGTAGAATTTGATAGCTTTAAGGTAGTTCTTCTGTTTAAAGTAGATGTTGGCCATATTGACTCTGAGTCGGCCTGGAAGGACAGAATTTGCATTTTAATGGCAATATAAAGTATCTAACAAGGGATTATAAATAATATTGATTTAGTTAAAAAAGAAAAGGAATCATTGACACCTTTACAAATACGATTAATTCATCCCTAGAATGTAAGGGGATGAAAACAGTAACTATAGACCTAAACTATACTAAAAGCTTAATCTGAGCTTAACATTCAACTAGTAAGTTAGATCCCTCTGATTTCTACCTCCATTTTACCTATGATTAATCTTTCTCTAATGATGGGATATGTAGACTAATTCATGCCATTTTCAGCATATTAGTCTGGAAAGAAGCAGGTAGAGCTTGATTTCAAAGTTAGGACTAAGACTCAGAAAAAAACAGGTTAGAGTCAATAAGATAACTACGGTTGTGACACAAAAACATCTTTTTTTTGTATAGAAAGAAAAGCTCTTACAGCAGCCAGTTTAAATCTTAATGATATAAACAGTTCTTTTGGAACATAAAGGGAATCAATAAAACAGTAAAATTCAACATGAGATAAAAAAAAATGTGCCATTAAATGTCCCATTGAGGAATCAGATGTAGTTTTATTTATGCAATAAGGCAAACAAATATAAACTCAGCATTAAACTATGAAAAGTTATATCAAATATTAAAATGTGTAGGTAGATATTTAAAAAGTGGCTGCTGCTCTCTGAAACAGGGGAGGATCAATGGTCTAAATTTAATCCAAATGTCACATATTGCATTAACAAATGTTGACACACATAAAACACATCACTACAACAGGTGAAAATAGCTGTGGTTAATAATAATAACTGCACTTTATTGATCTCACACTTGAGAAATTTACCTCTGCATTTAACCCATCCCCTTGGGGAGCAGAGGGCTGCCATTCGATCCCCAGAGTGCAGACTGTGGGGATC